ACAGGCTGCTGCCAGAGAATGAGGCACGTGGATACACAAAGAACCTCTTAGCAGAACAGAGTGTTTGGCTTGTTCTGAGACCTCCTCTCCTCCACCTCTGTTTTAGAGATGATCTTCTGGGCTCTTCTGAAGGTCAGCAGGAAACTAATGGCTCTGAGGTGCTGGCAGTGGCTGCTGTATTAGCACTTGTGCTTCTGTCTGCAGTTGCTGAGCAGCTTGGAGATGCCTGACTCATGTAAGAGCTGGGTATTCAATTCCAGGAATCGTGCTATACCAGCAGGCAGAGCCAAAGAAACTTGTCACAATGGGTACCCATCTTCTAGGGAGTTGACTACAGTCAGCCTAGCACAGAATGAATTATCATTAGGCATTACAGATGACTTCAGTCTATCTGAAAATCAATACTGAGCACATTAGAGAACCTGAGGCTTCAGAGTAAGCATTAAAGCATTTAATGATTTCTTTAATCATGCAGAATTTGGAAATTGTTAACAAGGTTGACTGCCTGGCTGATAGAGGCTTTTAAAACCTTGCCCTTAGCAGTCACATGGTAGGGAAGCCATACGTATGTTTGTCTGAGCAACGGGAAGGCCAATATAACCTTGCTCATAACTTGCTTTTACCCCCTGTCCCACATTCATGCCCTTGCAGGCCTGGATCTGTCCTCCTTGTCGTGGGGTGTGCAACTGCAGCTACTGCCGCCGGCGGGACGGGCGCTGTGCCACCGGCATGCTCATCCACCTGGCCAAGTTCTACGGTTACAACAATGTCAAGGAGTACCTGGAAAGGTGAGGGTCATGCTCCGTAGTCATTCCTTATTAAACTGTTGTAGCCCCTTAAATAACACTTGACTTCCTGTGCCCTGGGGCAGATCCCGCACCTATGCAAATGAAGTCTCTTGGACTTCAGAATTTTTCCTAGGCTGAAATCGGCTTCTTTGAAGTGAGTCATACTGTCTGTGTAAACAACTGTTTCGCTTAAGAAATCGAAATGCTTTTGCCTATTTTGAAATCCCTACTGGTTCCTTGAAGCGTATAGAAGTGCTGTTTTGGAAGTTGTCATCTTCAGTAATGGAAACTGTTGTTTATGGGGAACCTGAGTTTCCTGAAAAGCACTAACATTGTTTTCTCATGTCTCCTAGTTTACAAAAACAACTGGCGGATGACAATTGACAACACTGAGCTCAAGCTGTGCCTGCAACTGGTTAATATGTTGAAAAATTTTGACTTCAAAAGTTTATTACTCTGTTTTATATAAGATAGAATTGTTGTGTATAGTACATTCATTTCTGTGTTGGGAACTTTTTGATTGATATGGTCTTATGCAAAAGATCTCTCAGGAAAATGTTTTGGTAGAGAAATCTACATGCACAGACCTATAGGTTAAGTGAAATGGCACTCTTGAACCTTGAGTGGTTAATTTTTAATAGAGCTACCCAAGCACGTGATAGAGAACTTGATCAATTTGAGCAATATTTTTATTTATATAATTGTGCAAGTTTGCAGAAAGGATGTTTAACAACTACCTTCAAAGCATCCGTATCTTTAAAGAAACAAAACACCCTTGTCTACCAACTTGACCTTAAAGATTCAGTTTTCCAACCCTTGCTTTCTGAACCTGTTAATCCACCTGTAGTTTATGGAACTTGTCCCTGCAAAGAAGGAAAGTGTACTTTCATTTGATGCCATTATATTCCAACCAAAGCTGATGCAATCGACCAGTGGGAGGATGATTGTTTTTTTTATTTTATTTCAAAGTGCAATTATTCACAGAAACATGAAACTAGAAGAGTATTTCTTTAAAAATATAAAATAAAATTTTAAAAATTTTAAACATCATCCCAGTAAAACCAGCAGTTTTTGTGTAGTGCATCTGCTGCCTGAACCATCTGGTCTAAATCAGAGTTCAGGATTAATTTTTTTTTTGCTTACAGTTCATACTTAGAGGTTTTTTTCATTTGTACTACCAGGCTTTTGAACAACTTTGTTTAAATGCAACATGCTTGTATTGCATGTTAAAATATGTTAAAATTCTTGTAAGATACATGTTTCATTTTATGTAGAGAGAATAAAGACTAATCTAAAGAGGAGTATTTTGTGAGTCAAACTACACCCAGATGCTAATGTTTCCCATTTACTTTCCCGTAGCTGGTGTAATGGTGCTTGCAGATCAATAATCATTATGTGGAGAAACACATGAACACAACACTGATGGATGAGGAAATAACGACATAGAGCACATAAGTGTTACACCAAGGATTGTGTTTTTGTGAGGCAAATCTCCTGCTCCAGCTGACTTTGAAAAATGTTTATCTTCTTTTACTTTTACTACAAGGCAGATTGAGAAAGCAGCATGTATTATTGAAAGGTTAGTACTAAACTGCCAAAAGTAAAGCTATTCCTGCCAGAACCCATTTACCTGACTTCTTGATTTTCAGATTGAAAGTCCAAACATAAGCTGGCCCTCTGCTTTTGATTTTATAAACTGGACATTCATAAACATTATCAGTTTCCCTTTGATCCACTGGAATTGCCCTTAAAAAAATGATTGGCATTGCTAAGTCAATTCCTTGAGCTGTGCTTCAGGAATTGGCCCCAGATTGATGTCCAGCCTGGTGCCTGCAATAAACAGCACGTGGTTTACATAGTGTTCTGTAGTGCAAGACCGGAACAATTTGGTTTTTAACAGTGGCTAAACAGATGAAGCTACATTTGAACATGCAGATTTAGTGCGGACTGTTGTTGTCCAGTTGTGCATCATCTCTTTGTATGGATGCAGAGATCAGTACGTAGCATCTGCCTGGACTGGACTTGTGGTTTCATCAACATGCCCTCTTATTGAAAGCAGGGACTGGAAACTATTTACAGTTGGGACTTAAAATATGAGTGTTCCTGCCAAAGTCAAATTCTCACATTTTCCCCTAATCCTCCACTAGTTTATGGTGAATTCTCCACCAAAGGGTGGAGAACTATGCTGGAGCACTTAGCCTGTATTTGTACTGTGAGATATCAAACAGGTACTTTGGTGTAGTTAAAACAGATGAGTTCTGTGCTGCTGAAGGGCCATGCACTTTCTGAAAGCTGCTGGATTTAAGTTTGTTGTGTGTTCTTCTAACATAAACTAGCATATAAAATGTTGCATATGCTTGTTGTGGATTTTAGGAAGATTTATGTGACAGGAAACTATATATACAAATACCATCACAAACACAAACTTCAGTCACAAGGTTCCACAATACTTTCCTCATATCCAGAGGAGGAATATACAGTATTACCCTTGGATTGACAAATGCTTTAAAAAAAATCCTCTGAAAAATGCATGTCACCATTTCAAAAAGCAGCAGTCAAATGACATCTTTGTCATTGCTCCACTCTCCCACCCTGACTTGCCCCTTGGGGCTTCTGTAGTAGCAACTCTCTTCCAAAAGGGTTGCTTTCCTTTTATTATATGTGGGTCTGATGAAGAGTACAAGTAACAATGATGTTTCTTTAATTGCCTCTGGGAGTCATTCACCTTTCCTCTAATGAACTGTAACTTAGTTTACAGCTTTTCAAAGTTAAAACTAAAATCTCATTTTGATGACAGGCCTGAATTGGCATTCCTAAATGAGATGCTTCAGTCTCAGGAAAACACAGATTCAAAAAAACAAGGTATGATGTTTATCCTCTGAAAGTTGTTAAAAGAGGGGTTTCAGCTCAAAAGATGAACGTGATTTCCATTCAGAGACAGCCTACAACCATATTACACCTACTGCAATAACTGACTGCTTGAAAATCCAGATGAAAAAAGTTTCTTTTAATTCTTACACTTTGCCCACCTACTTGTGTCATTATATCTCATGCTAATACAGGGATTTTCAAGTACTTCCTTTCTTCTTGGTATATCTCCCCAAAGGCTTATAAGTATTATGGCATAGCAAATAAAAAAAATCAGAGTTCTTTAGATCTGTTTATTTACAACTGTCAACTGTTTGCCAAGGTGGAAGAAAAAAAAACAGGAGAAAGACAATTTTTATGTTTGTGTGGTTTTTTTTTTTTTAAATTATTATTTGTTTGGGGTCTTTATTTGTTTGGCTTTTTTGTTTGAGTAACAGCATACTGCAGCATACATTGCCATGAGGTATCAGAGGAATTTCCAAAAACACTGCCTGGTTTATCCATGTCTAGCCACCTGCAAGCGGCTAGTGCTGGTGGCAGGCTAGGGGAAAAGGAATCCTGCAAGATGCTGAACACTCCTAGTGCTTGGGACAAAGAGTGGTGATGGAGCCTTCAGCAAAGTGCTTGCCATTTCTACAAAACCCACTTCAAAGGAAAACTGACTTTCATTAGGAAAAATTTTGGAAAAAAAAGAATAAAGCTGCTGGAATAGCTCTGTGCTTAGTAGCTAAACCCTGTCACTGTAGGGTACTTACCAGTGGGTAAAGCATTATGTGGAAGGAATATGCTAGTTTAGTCCATGTGTTTGGCAAAACATCACAGAAGAGTGTAGATTGCAGCACTTCCATGTGAGAAGAAAATATCAGCTCCCCCTTTGTCTGCAGAAAAATAAAAAGCATACTGACACCATAAAGAATAGCTATTCTTTCATTTCCAAAAAAAACCTCAAAATGCACAGAAGAGCAACAGTACTGTTAATAAAAAAGTCATTCGCCTTCATATTGAGGTCCAGCTAATAATGGCCAGTCTTCGCGAGCGAAGATTTGGGAAAGGTCATTAACCCTTCGAGCCTGCGCAGTGGATTTTTTAGGTGAGACCCAGCGTGCGCTGAACTGAGCCCACCCTTTAATCCTGAGGTTCATCTGCCGGGGCCGAGCAAGCTCGGACGGTGGCAGTGAGGTCCCCAGAACGTAGGTTTGTTTAGAGTGACCTTCTCTTAGATGGATTGCCACACAGGGCTGATGAGAGCTCCATCTGCCCAGGGGGCCGGGAATCGAACCCGGGTCGCAGCGGTGAGAGTGCTGCACCCTAACCACTAGACCACCAGAGGCCCCTGAGGTCCAGCTACAGATCTCTGAAAGGACAAGGTTTCCTCCTCCTATACTCTTGAAGGCAAACAAGGGCACAGGGGCTCCAGGCAGTAGTCTTCTGCATGACATTAAATTTCTCAAGAAGTATCTCCAGAATATCATCCAGGACATTCTTTAACTTGTCCAGGACAATACAACAGTGCCATTAGAAATCCCAGCAGTCAACTCTTTTTGTGTCTTCTACTTTCAAGTCTGATTTCTTTTCCAGGAGAGTGCAAACATCTCATTTTCTTAGATAAAAACCAGTGATGCTCCCTCCCTCACCTTTTTGTCTTTTTGGCAACAGTACTGAGATAAATGACTGCAAAACAATTAACACTTAGCAGCTTCTATTTAGCTTTACATTTTCAAGTAATATTGACCCCTGAAGCCCACTAACACTTTGTTCCAGACTTGGGATGACTGCTGTTAGTAGGATGTACCCTGAAATTGTCTTGATTTTCAGCTGAGTGTGATTGGAGGTTTGTACTTCTCTAGTACCTAATAGCTTCCTTCACCCTCTCTACCACCCACAATCCTTCCTTTCCCAGGCATTAGGCAAAATACAGTGCAGGCACAGCCACACATGTCTCACCCCCCAAAAGAGCCTCTCTCCCTCCCTGCAGGCCTGCTCTGTAACTGAGACAGAACATAAATGAAGAACAATTCATAACAGTACTAATGAGCAGGAATTGAAACTACAGCATTAATGCAGCTCAGCCTCTGTTTCAGTCCTAGCTTTGGCAGAATTAATGAATGCCATATAGAATAGTCCAGACTCCCTAAAGTGGCTGGGAACTGAATGTGAAAAGCACAAACTTCCCCCAGCAGATGAAGCGCTGTTTGGCCACTTGCAAGAAGAGCTGTCACACTCCCTCCTGCAAAGCCTCCATGATCTGATACTGATAAGAGAAAAAAAAAAGAGTGCCTAGAGGAAAAGACGGGAGTAAAGAAAGGGACTGAGAAATGCAGAAGAGTGGGAGTCACAGGAGACTTTAATTAACTCTGGTAAGGATGAGGAGCTTGAGGCTCAGTCTCATCATATGGCAAGTTTTGAGGGTTCTGGACATAGTTTCTCAGACCTACACTCAGAAAGGAAGGTGCAGAAGACAGCAAGGTCTGAAACAGAACTAGCTGAGATTTCTGATTACAATTTCCTTCCCTGCTCATGTGTTATTCATTTAATCTCTTAAGTACAGCACCAGTGATGTTCCATGAACAGAACTACAGTGCCCCAGTTAACTCCATATTAAATGATGAAGCTTAGCCTTCTATTAGGGTTGGTCCCTTTAACCTAGCATCTGATAGCTTATAGATGGTTAATGATATTGTTCTGCTAAACTCCAGGTTCTGTACAAGAGAGGTGCTAAGGCTAAGAGATGGTAAAACAGCCTCCTTGGCCAGATTTCACCTCTTCAGACTACCAGTAGACTAAAACTCCCTGAAAACCTCCTCGGCTACTGCTTAGAAGGGAAGTCTCTATGAGCAGCCACATGGCTCCTAATCAGATCAAGGGCCCAGAAAGGGAAGTGGTGGGAGAGCAATGTACTTGGGCTGCCCTTCCTGACATGGAGACCGTGCACATCGCCGCTTGGCTGTGCTGTCAGTGTGGCAGAAGGAATCCAGGACTGCAGGCTGGGAGGGACTTCCTATGCCTGGTACAAGTGGGAAGGAACAGGAAAGCTACTCAAAGGGGATTTATCATGCAGGAGATGAGAACAAAGGACAGAGGTGAAGACTAGACCCAACAATTCAACCAACCGTGCCTTTTTTTTAGCAAGTTATTGTTGCTGTACTTGTTTATAAAAGCATACAAAAAAAAAGTAAGATAGATCCATACCTTGTTTCCCACCCCACAATTAATTCAAAGTTAAAAAGAAATGAACTGCATAACAGGTTAGATGTTCCTCTAGTCCAAATATCTTTGGTCAAATTCCTTCCTAGTGCAGTACCTTGGCCAGGCTGGTGCATTATCATCACTAGTATTAACACTCATTTAATCTTTTCTAATTTGATGCATCATTTTCCCCCCAGAAATTAGGTCTCTTGCTGAAATAACACAGTCAGATGTGTGCTCCACATGTCATTAAAGCACTGACAACACACCAGATTAAGAACTTCACATCTTTCTCTGCAGACTAACCTGATCCCTCTCCTACAAATGTATCCATAGGTTGCATTTTTGAAAGAGTTTTGAAGAAATTATCTGATACTGTCGTCAAGAATCTCATCTCAGCATCGGAGTGCAGTCCATATAGTACAGGGCTTTCAGATGCAAGAATTTAATCTATGTATTTATGGTATCCATCACAATCTAGATTTGGTGGGGCCAAGAAACCTAGTGCCGGTTCCCCTTCAAGCTGCAGAAAAGAATCAGTAATGTTATTGATAATTCTGAGACCAGTTCTTGAAATATTCTTCTGTATCTGCAAAATTTCTGAGGTTTGCTAGGAGTCTGTGAACATGATGCCTGTATGTTCTGATACAATGGAACAGGGTTACCAAAGTATTTTTAGCATAGTTGCTATTTGCATAATTTCCCAACAGTCCCATTTTCTGCAGTGTTAAAATACTGTTGCTTCTTCCTTCATGAGGATGCTCTGAGTTTGTTTTAAGGACTGTCACTACTGAGGTGAGTGTATTTTAAGTACTGAATGTCTGCATCCCTGCAGCAGACAAGCAAGGATTATTATGCCATTTTGCAGATGAGAGCCTGAGGCAGGAGAAAGTCACACAGGACACCTGTGGGAGAGGCAGGACTGGAGTCTCAACTCACCTCAACCCTGTTGTGTGTTAACATGAGCCGCAACATTAGTTCTATTTAGTCTGTCATTAATTAGGGGCTTTGCACAAACACACTGCACTCATAATAACCTTAAAGTTGTCTAAGGGACAGACAGGTACATGAGACAGGTAAGCGGAGTGTGGAACTGGGATAGCACATGTCAGTATATGGGCAATCTTAACTTATCTGAAACAGTGATCCCATTCCACTTTCCACAGAAATGGTTGCCAGTCAGGACAGTATTTATGTCCCTTCCATTCTCTTCTGCCTGGCTGAAGAGAATGTCCCTAGCAGCCAGGAGCTGGAACAGAAAAGAAAATAAGCTACACCACTGCATCTCTCCAGAGGTAGGAGTCTTGCTTGGGGTTTTATAATGCTGCTTTGGCCTCAGTGAGAAAGACAGTGGTGATGATTTTTGCAGGAGAAAAAAATTAAGGTCTCAGTCAGCTCAATATTGAACCGAACACTATTTACTGCACTGTTCCTACAGAGCACCTAGGCCCTAACTCTGTCAGGATATTTAAGATAAGACTTGGGACTTTAGAGCAGATCAAGATTTAAGTAGGTAGACAGGGCTTTGGTGAGATGTACTCTTGGTGTATAAGAGTACTCCTACAGATGACAGGACAGAATAAAAGCTGTCGCAATCACATTTCTTTTCCAGACTCCCCCAGCTCCTGTGCTGTAAGAACTTCACTGGATTCAGAGCATTTATCTGAACTTATTGTCATAGGGCTGTCTGGGATTTAAACTAGACTTGAAGTTGTTTTTGCTGAAAAATATTTCTAGCTTTAAGTGGTACTTTTCACAAGAGCTATTTCTTCCTAATGCAGGGTCCACTCCACAGAATCACAATAACATTTAACGGCTTTTGGCATTTAGAACAGTCAACAACAAGCTGTTGCTCAAAATAACATCACTAAGCACTTATTTCTGAAGTCATTTGGTTCTGCAACCAGCCATTTACCTGCGCCTGAACTTGCACCACTAACCTCACCCACAATAGGCTATATCTTAAGACCACTTTGAAGTAGTGCTGAGGTTTTGAAAAAAGCCCTGTTATTTACCTTGAGTAGAAGATCAATTCTGTCAGACGGTTTGTACTTACCAGTCTCTCTGCTGGCACTTAAATCAGGTTTTACTGTATCCGTGGGAGTCATGTGCACAGAGGGAGGCTGTGGGTTACTGGGGTTCATAGCAGGAACTCGCCACCCTTCTGTCCTTATGGCAGATCCCAGGTGAGGTATATCAAAGCTCATGCATAGTGGCTTATTCTAATGCACCTTGTGAAATGAATTTATATCTAAAAGAACTCATCAGTAAGGCAAACAGGTAAAAAGAGAAGGTAATCGCCCCAGTGAACACAAAGCCCCAGCAGTGATGAAAGGCCATCCTGTTTACATTCATTTGGTTGCCGATCAGTAAATGATTTTCTGGTTTTGCTGGTAATTCTGAGCTTTAGAATATTCCAATTACATAAAAAATCTTGGAAAGATCCACACCAGTGGATCCAAGCTCAGGGTTGGGTCCCTAAACTTTCCAAAGGCCATACAAATAGCAGTGATTCTGTTCAGGTTTCACCACCTATACTTATTTTGCAATTATTTGAATGAAAGTTCAGGCTTGTGAAGGTTAATGGACTACCTAAACTGCAAGCAGTAATTCTTCACTTATCCATAGGCTACAGGAAGACCTCGAGCTGGCAGGATGAGCTTCCCAGCATGCCCCTGCGACCTCAGCTGTCATGTGGAGAAATCCGCCTCCTTCGAGGTCAGGAGTACAGTGGTGTTTAGCCTTTCCATCTCCATGGCAACTTACTCTTGGGCATCTTCTTCTGAGCAGTTACTTCCAATTACCTTCATCTGAGTGTGGCTCTTTGACATATGAAAACCTGCTTGTTAGGGACCGAGGAGACATCAGCCCGCTCATCTTGCTTGTAACTGCAAGGCAGCTTCAGCCCATTGCCAGGGCTGAAAGGTGCACTTCCCCCAAGTTATCCAGGCTCCACAAACGGCCTGCTCACATGTAACATGCTAATTTCCATATTTTATTCTTCTCAAATAAAATTTTACGTTTGGAAAATGAAAAATAAGAAGTCTGCAAAGGGTACTTGAAAAATGTCTTGGCTGTTTTTAGAAAATTGTGTACAATCAGTTGTCTGAAGTAACTACTTCAGCAAACCCAGAAACTGACTGGGTTGTTTTAATATTTTTATCTCTATCTATATATCTTATACACACACCCCCTGTATATACATCCACATAAATACATATAAATGTATGTATATGGAAATAGCTTAAAGTAATTTCCAAGCAAGACTTCTTAGAACTAAAGTTAAAGCAACATTTTCTTTTTGTAGCCTCCACAATTCTAACATTTGTTGCTGATTAGAAGCAACTCTGCCTACCTGGCACCTTGGACTCATGGATGCTCCACATACACTGCTGTCCAGGACAAAAACTCAACAGTGAAATTTGAATATTCAGTATATGTCAGCTGGTGATAAACTGACAAAGCTACAGATGTGTGAGAGGGTAGTAGAAAATTAAAAACAGTCTTACAAACTATTTTCCCTATTTTGGAAATGGGAAAATGCAAGGAAATGTATAACATTTCCATTCTACTATTTTTCTGGAGAAGAAAATGTGCAAACAGTAAGTGCAAGTTTTGAGGATAGTGCCATTCTGGACTGGTGAATCTGTCAGTTATGTTGGTTAAAGTAATCATTTCCATAAGAGATACATTCCCATGCCAATCCAGACCTTTCTAAATTGAAGCACCTTAAAATAGTATTACTAGGAAAATGAAAACCTAAGTGTACCCAATGTCATTAAGATCACTATACAAGCAGTGTTACAAAATACTGAATTCATGTTACCAAGTAAGGGTACTTGAAAAAGTAAACAAGCAGTATGCCAAGTCACAAACATTTTCAGACAAAATCTGCTCATGATGAATCATTGTAAAATTTATTCCTCCACAGTCAGACAAGACCTAGCTACAGGTGGAGCTGCATAGATGAGAAAGTTTGTGGTCTTCAATTTCCCTTAGGTTGAATATACTGCATACATGTTCAGGAGCTTCAGGCATATGTGGAAGTTCTTACCACAAGTGGTCTGATGAGTTCTTGCAGGTGTACAGAGCAGAGCCTGTGGTCCCAGGTATTGGTGGTCACTCTGTATGATCTCACCAAAGAGGTAATGAAAGTCTTCCCATAGGACCTACCTGGGGAATAGAATGCATCACTGAATAAAACAAGTCAGCTTTCTAAAGGAGAAACCAAAGCTGTTCAGAATAAATGCTGCTTGGAGAAACAAAAGAAATTAAAGTGCCTCCTTTCAGAAAGCTTCATGGTTATATGTCTGCATTGCGTTTGGTTTGTTCATCAGACTACATTGAAAAACATATTTCTTTTATTTCAATCTAGAGAGAGGTATCTGAGTAAAAACAGCACGTTTGTGACTAAAATCAGTAACAGTGTAAAATGAATTATCTGAGACTTATGTCATGTTTTCTACCTTATCCCTTATAAAAATCTTATAAGTGAAAAGCACATTTTCAAGACTCCACATGATATAAGAGAACATAACTTCATGAACAAGTGCATGTATTTTCTCATACAGATCTTTAAAAACACAATCCTCATGAGTGACAGGAAGGTAACCTACTGTGCCTTTCTTAAAGGAGAAATAAAAAACTTGTATCTGATTGCAGTGTTTTATATCCTCTCACTAGGAAACACTTAGTAACTGAAATTCTACATTATTTGAATTTGGGAAGTATTCAAGAACTTTAGTGAAAATTGAACTAATATTAACCCCATGACTGCCACATTACATAAGCATTAAGTTTATTGTAGAATTCTAGTCATAACGCCATTGTTATAGCATGTGATTAAGAGTGGAAAACCATTTTATTCAAGAAACTACTGTCTTTCTCTTTAATTTGGCTTCACAACATTTGAAGCTTCTTTTTGCTCCCCTTTGGTTTGCAAAATATGCCAGTTTGTGAGGAAGCCTTTGCAGACAGGAACCGTTATGCCCTTGGGGGCAGTATTTGTCTCCCAACAGTTCAAGTAAAAACTTAATTACAGGCTTAACATATTGCATGATGTAACAGAACAGAACAAGTAAAATAGCTGCAGCTATTCCAGCCTGCTTACTACATAAACTTGTATGTAGCAGTTTGATTATGTGAAACTCTAACCCATCTTTATTTTAAACTGGTTTAAAGAGAATGAAAAAAAAATTAAAAAAAAAAGCCACTGGAATATAACATGTAACGCTGCATGCTTGTGATGAGAAGACTGATCAGAGAATCCCTGTGAAAAATGTGAACAACTTGGATTTAGAACAAAGCATTCTTGGAGTTAGAACCTACTCTTTGTTGGCAACAAAACTTCATTTAATGTTTTTCTAATTTCATATATATTTATCTCAAGAAATTGCTCCTTCCTTTGTCTTTTACAAGAGTATATCAATATTCTAATTCAGTATGAGCTTATTCAGCTGCACATTTCTGGGGCATTGATTATACTGGGGTAATCAAAGCTGCTGATACAAAAGGGGAATTTTTGGTAGTGTAAGAAAACTGAAGAGCTTGAATTAGAAATATTTTGGGCTGTCAGATTCACATAATTGCCATTGTACTATATAGAAAACCAGTCTGTTGTACCCCAAAAAACACAGAGCCATTGCTCAGTGGATGGATAACGGTGAAGACAGAATCCACATCCCCCTTACAACACTGAATGACAACTCCACAAACACATGTGTAGGAATCAGAAGGTGGAGGGCAAGAGTGGGACAATGAGGCAGGATCAAGCATCCTGTACTTCACATAAGGAGGCCTTAACTATCAGAGTTAGCATGTTGGAGTTTGTCTTAGCAGCAGGAAAATGGATTAAGTCAAACTGAGATGCGAGATTGGATATTCAGAGGAAAACACTATAAAACTGGTACAAGTGATGATCAAGTTATGGCAATTTCCACTAGCTGATGGGCTAGCTCAAGTTGCCCAGCTTATGCTTTCTGCTTTCTGGTCAATCCATAATTGTCTTAAGAACGTTTTCCCCAAAAGATAATAAATTGGGAGAGTTTATATAGATATATATACATATATATACATGTATACAAAGTTACATTTAAAAACCCCTATTATCTTATTTCTATCTCCAATATCTATGTAAAAAAAATCCTTATAAAGCCACAGGGTAATGAATCACTAACCAATACACTGAGAAGGGCCAATAAGCAATATTACCAAGAGAAGAAATAATTCTTGACCTTACAGATCTTTCTAGTGCTCTCTGAGATCAGAATCCTCCCTCTCATTAATTAGCAAAATTAATTATCCAGCTTATGAATTGTGGTTTGAAAAGAACAGAGCTTAAAGCAGCAAGACTTATTAGCAAAGAAAACTAAGGGTTGGAATAAGCTGATTTTATATACTTGTTTTCTAAATTGGAAAGATTATTAAATCATCACTATGAAATTAACCAATTATTTCACTATTATGACACCAAGTACTACAAAAAGGAAAAATACTTTGATGTCCTATTAGCTAAATAAAGGTCAGTAGGGGTATGAAGACAAAAAGAAAATCAATTTGTAAGAGCAAATACAAGTTGGAAGATAAGGAGAAAACCATATAATCAAGGGGTTACACTTATCTTTTTTTCTTTATGATTATCTCTGAAATTTCTTTAAGTTATTAAAATTGGAGGATCTATTTAGTAATATCCTATAACATTCAGTAATAAATAATTACTGCTTTTATTTAGGCATTTCACATTTTCACATACAGAATTTAGACAAGTGACCTCAACTCGGTATTTAAACTATACAAGTCTGAAATATGCTGTAGCTCAGAAATAAAATCACTCATCTACCCTTAACTTTGACTCAAGGGGAACATTACTGAGAAAGTCACAACAAGGTGGCATCCTTAATACATAATAATGACACATTCAGGAAATGCACCATTATTTATATATGTGACGTGCTGTAAATTGCTTCCATCATCAAAACTAATTGTAGTGATTATTAATGCAGTGTTATGAACTGTCAGAATTGCTGTTTGTAATTACATTTGTGCAAATGCTTCATTACCTGCCTAATGAATTTGGCATATATGCACATGTAAACCCCTGTTTTTGTTAACATAATGAAGGGCATTTTTTTCCCCTTTAGCTACTAATGTGGAACTGGTTTGACCTATATTACAAAGTTCAAGCATTCACTGCCAGAAAAAATCCCACAGCCCCCCACCCCCTTTGATCTGGTTTATTTTCATACTCAACAAGAGCATCATATAATGCCAGCTACTTAAATAACAGTTCCAGAGAAAGGATTGTGTCCCCCTTATTCAGTATAAACAGCTGATTGAGTTGAAATGACCTTGGCGTGTCGTTACCTGACCACTACTTCTTACCTTCACATGGGCCTCCAAATAGTTGCAGAGGACAGTGACACAGACGTAGAGATCTCTGGTGCTGAACCGCTGCCTTCCGTTCCAGCCCTGAGGGCCAAACTCCAGTCTCCCAACAACGCAACTGTGAAAATTGCACAGAAGATAAAGGATGCTTTTAAATTTCCGTTCTCTGGTACACAGCTCAAGGGTATCCTGTCAAAGAAAAAAGGAATAACATGCAGTAACAACTGGCAGTGTTATCGACAGTTGTGCCTGCCTCAGCAGCTGAAAGGGAGCACTCACAAGCCTGGGGTTGGAAGGAGAGTAAGAAACAGGTTTCTTAATGATCAGTATATGCCACGGATTGGGCAGTATTTTTTGCAGTAATTTCCAGATGCACAAGTGTTGATAGTGACATTTTTATTTCCAAATATCCCCTAGGAAAGAACTGTTGTGCTACTGAAACCAACAAAAATAAAGTCTTTAACTAGAACTCTATAAATAATACTCAGACAACCACTACAGTTTCTTAGCGTAAATCATCCATAGACTTTATCCCAAGCAGAAGATGTACCAGTTTAACACTTACTAAAAAAGCCTTCAAAGTCCTTCAAATTTTAGTTTCCCAAAAATCATGTTTGAAATTGAATATATTTTTTTTGCCTCCATTGCTTGTAGTGTTAGTAGAGAATTTTGGTAAGATAAGATTCAGCACAGGGCTTCAGCTGGTTTTTAAAATATTTGGCATTGCCTATAAAAACTGCAGAAAATAATCCTTAATTCTCTGACATATGTTCTGTGTTTTACTTTAAGAAGTAATGGACATAAAATTACTTTTGATACCCGTGAAACACAGATGTGTGGAAGAAACTTCAGAAGGATAAACTCTTGGCTTTCAAAAGGAAATAAACTACTGAACTAAACAACAGGTAGCAGAGTCTGGGGAAAGGTGAAGGATTTTATGTCTGACAAAAAAACCTTCTTAAGTCAGAATGTTGAGTTTAACCATGAAAAATGCAACACAAGTTTCTACCCTGAATAAAACCAGGAGCCTTGATATAACAACAAAATAAACATTCAATATATCAGGTGTCTGAATTTGAGAAATTAAGACTGACAGAAGAGTTAAATCCGATACCAAAAAAATTTAAGTCAGTCTCTATTCTGCTAGTTTACCAACCACTGTGCCAACTGCTTTTGCAAGACCTGAAGCCAAAGTAATTTTTAAAGTATTTCCCAGATCAGTCAGAATAGCAGATTGGTTTGGGTTTTTTGTTCAGTTTAGGTTTTGTTATTGTTGTTGGGTTTTGTTTTGTTTAGAGGTTTGGTGGTTTTTTTGTTTGGTTGGTTTGGTTTGGTTTCTTTAATATCAAATTATACACTCCCTAGTCTACAATAAAATCCATAGTAAAATATGTCATCTTTTGGTACAGGATTTTTTTTGAAACATAAACTTACAGGGTTTCTGGGCTAAACCCCAGAAGACTAAAGATTGAGAAGCACTGAGTACATCCAAATCTCACTAGCTCTAGCTAGATTAGCACCATTTGAGATTTGGTCCAACATCTTTATGGAATGTCCTTTCAGACTTTCCCCAATCCTTCACTATCAATAATCTTTACAGCAAAATCCTTGCCCCTCTCCTCCCTCAGAAACCAGGAATAATGGGCTGGAAAATGGAGCAGGTCTGTAACATCAGAAGCTTCTCAGATGTTCCCCATTAATTCCTGTGGCTTCAGACACACAACACTGCTTCTACCATTCTCCCATTTTCTCATCCTATCCCCAGAGTGGTTGAGAACTCTGAAACTCCCCTGAAAACCAACTTGGCTCTTCTCTTCACAACAACATTTCTATGCTCACTAGCAGTAAAATAGGGTTATTTTTAGACTAGCATGATTAGCTTACTCACGTGAAATCTGGTTAAAGAGTTCTGGTTTCACTGATGCTAAAGGGGGCAGTTTGTGCATGCTCCCACAGTGCCTAGCACATCAGTGCCCCTCACTAATCCCATGGAGATTTCATCTAGCAGACAACACTGAGTCTAGTCCATCTCTTCATTTGTTGCAGGCAACTTGGTTGACAGACAAACCAGGATGCTGAGGTTAAAACCAGAAGAGGAGGGAATCAGTCCATTCTCATGACTACCTTAATATCAAGGCCTGGAGCATGCATTTCTTGTTTAGCTTGAGGGCAGAGGGGTTGTCACACATACACATTGGCTGTTTGGCACAAAACGTTTGAAGGCAGCATCTTTTTTTCAGTAGCATTTACAGCTGCAGTGCTCCTGTTCGCTCTTTTACTGTGTTGGGAAACCATTGCTCACCAAGGGATTGCACGGATCTCTTTGTCCACTGCAGAGTGGGTTCTTGGTCCATACGACGACGCTGGCCAAAGCCAGGGCTGCTATCTCTGAAAAGCAGCACTCCAGGGCTAATTATACAGCTTCCCCAGGGGCAGTCAGACCCATTTCATTAAAGTCTCCATTATGGCCCACTGAATGGAACAGGAGCTCTTAATTAGGGGAGGAAGTGTGTGCCTGAGGGCAATTCTAGCTACCCACCAGGGGCCTTCTGCTTTATCTCTGCCATTCCTCCCAGGATGGCAATGCTGTTCAGCAAAACATGACACACACCTTATTAATATGATGTTTATCCTGTTACAACCAAAAGCAAAAGCAAATGAATAAGATTATTAGCTGTTTAAAACTTTTGCTGTAATCCATTGCATATTTTGTGTTCTAGAAATATCTCTCCAGCTGAGGAGGCATTCCCTTGTCAGAGGGACTGTTTGACACTCACTTGGGAAAGAACCCCATGGCCATGGCAGGCAGCCTTCTTGAGTGCCTCATTTGCAATCATCTCCTGCCTTTGTCCGAAAGAGATGTTATGAAATCTTCTAGAGTCTACAGTCTATAATGAACCCAAGCTTTTTGCCTGCAATAGAAATAATTGGGGAAGGGTGAGTGACAGAGGGGGAGGAGATAGGAAAATTAGCAGAGCAGAAAGGAAAAAGAATGATAATGCCCCCATTAATTTCACTATCACTTGTGCAATGCATATTACTTCCTCTGAAGCACTTCACTAAACCCTTACAATTTCAACAAGCAAAATTGCGAGCTCTCAACAGTGGCCTTATTGCTGGTATTAGAAAAAGCCTGCAGAAATCTGTTCCCTTGGTTTTAAGATAATGAACCTTTTGACATTTTGATAGATGCTCGGCATTGTTACTGAGCTTTAGAAACTCTTACAGGGGGTACAGAGCAATTCCCTTATGAAAAAAGGAGCAACATGTGGTAGATATCACATCAGTTTTTTAACTGATTGGTTCAGTGGGTAAATGCACAAGCCTCTCACCTTGTGAGGCCTGAGCTTAAATTGAGCACAGTGAGGTCACAGATGTATTAACCTGGTATTCTCACTATTGTCTGTGGGGAATAGTAATCCTAAGTATAGAGCCACAGAGCCCTATACAATTGAATATAGTTTGTATAATGACCATTATTTAGTCACAGGGGGCACAAGATTACATGAGCATGGAGAAAATTGCCCTCTGGCCCTCATCTAGTCAAAAGGTAGAAAACAGCACAAAGGAAACCTGCATTATGCCAAGCAGAGGAATGCTCAATCTAGAAATTTCTTCGTACTGTAGTGGTTATGGCCTTACACTTTTCATCCACCCCATTGCCATGCATCTGGTGGGGGTGGAAGAAACTTTAGAACTTGAATCTGCTGCCAAAAATAAACTGCGCTCAACTTTCCCATAGTAGTGCATACTCCGTTGTAGTGACAGATGACTCCAGAAGGCTTTGTTCTGTTTAGTAGAAAAAAAAATACACCCCTACATGCTTGTGTGTATGAGAACATACACACAAGCATATAACCATATATAGATTTTTCTTTATTTCTAGCACTGCATGCTCCATTTCACTTTTGAGCTCAATTTTCCTTTCTTTGATGGGAGGAGAGTTGCAAGTTGCTTCTGTTGCGAGTGAAGAAAGTAAGAGGCTTACCTAATGTCTCAATATCTTCAAGTGGGTCTACTCTGGAAGCCAGAATGAAAAACACAGGACTGGTTGAGCTGGACTGCTCTCTTAGCATTTTGCTAAATCCATCCTTGTGCTTTCCACATAGCTTCAGCCAAGCTTTTCTTCCACAAAGTTCCTATGCATATGACAAAACATCCACTAAACATGTTCCTTGATGTTCCTTGATAAAAAATATTCCTTGATAAATGCTTCAAGTCTGCACCATTGCAGACTTGAGCATCTGACAGTGATGGTCATTTCATCAGAGAAATCATGAGAAGGCAGGAAGGGAAGCAGGTGATGAAGCAAGAGGGAAGACAGTCATTCCCATTTCCCTGTGGGATAGGGACCACATGACAGAAAACAGCAACTTCTGAATGAAAAAGGCCTCTTCAATAACTGAATCGATGAAGTCATTATATGCAGGCAATACTGGCACATAAAGCCAGGGCAGCTGGGCAAAATAAGCACCCAGGACAAAAATTGCATTCTCAGAAGTCATATAAAAAGGGGAAAAAACTGTGATGGTGTGATGTGGAGGAATAGGTTTGTAAGACCATCACTTGGGATCAAAAATTAAAACAGTACAACTGGAAAACAACTGGGAGGAGATTGGTCAGTATCCACAGCTGAATCTTTCTTTGTATCACAGAATTTTCAAAAGGGAGAGCTGAAAAATCGTCATCCTGTAGGGTTACCCACCTAATACAGCCCTAATACCATAATGAAAACTAACACTGAGAAATACACTTCTAGATATTAACAGGATAGCTTACTGCATGTCTATTTATGAGTAAGTACTCTCCCCTGGTACCTCTATGCAAACTAAAAGAAATCACAAATCTCCAAATATGCTGTGACTCATGTCTCAACACACGACCTCTTCACAAACTCTGCACCAGCAGACCAGGCTAGGAAGTACCACAGTCATCGATCTCAAATTCTGTTTGACCACCCAGTTTTCTTTCCTCTTAAGATCTGAGTTTTGTCAGACAAGCCACCACCCTTACACACACTTACCCTGAAAGATGTACCCTCAGATTTCATACCTCAGAGTGTATGTCATTCTGTCCTAATGGACAGCATTATTTGTTTCTCAAAAGAGGTTTGTTTTTTTTTGTCTATTCCTGGGGGAACTTTTCCTTTTCTGGACATTCTGAGTCCACCCACTTCTTCCATTTCTTGGTGGATCTTTCAATATCTTTATCTACCCCACTGAACACATCCGTCACTGCCATAGCCTGGAAGTATGCCAAAGACATAAATACAGATGATGTACTTTCTGCATGATGACTGAAAAAGGATGACACTGATACTTTTTGAGGTATGTAAAAACCCTAGTTTAACCAACTATAAGGGACTCAGGACTTGCCTTAAACTACTAAATTACATATCTATACCCACAAGCACAGATACATAAAAATAATATTATTTATAAAAGTTTACTGTGGTTGGTATTGCCATACTGTCTGCTTACTGTTAAACATCAAGATACAATAAATTGGAAACCCTGTATGGGACATTTACTACAGTAAGGAGTGGCATGAAATAAAATTGTATTTTTAGGGGCTGGAAAATTATGGCAAAATAGAATTTCCTCACAAAGTACAGTATGAGACGTCTAAGGAAAAATGCACCCAAATAGCAAAGAAAACTCCTTTTTGAAAGCATCACTAGTTTTACTAAAAAAAACCCCAGTAGAATGTATGACTTTATTTGAAATTGTCTAGTTGAGGCATGTGTCCAGAAATAACACCAAAAAGAACTGAAAAGCAATTTTCCCAAACTACTCTAATGACACTCCATCACTGAGTACTTAGGAAGTCAACAGGACTCACATGTGTTCAATTCTGAATCTAAGAAGGAAATCCAATTCAACAAATTCTATCTCTTTACTTCTTATAAGAATCTTGGCAGCACACAAAATTTAAAAAAGTCGTCAGACTTGCTTCAGAGCCTTCCAGTACAACTGAACCCTGATTTTTCCCAGGGCATACAGATACTAAAATTAAAAGGAAAAATAACAGCCTGAATGTGATATGGATATGTATTATTTACTTCTTACTTTACATACCAGATCAACCCTAATTATCCAAACATAAGCAGCTAAGTCATGGTATTTATCCTCAAAATAGCTTCATGAAATCATTGCAGCATTTTAAATGAAAAGAATTACATGCAAGCATCTTTGGAATTTCTGCAATTATTGATACTGAAGCAGCAGTCACCTTGTGCCAGAAACTGCACAGCCACAGGGATGGAGCACAGAGGCATCACTTTATAGTGAAGAAACTGCAAACCAAATAAATGTCAGCACCACCAATCAGAGATTTTTCCTCATCTGAAAAACTGTTTGGGCCAGAAAAATGAGGTTCTCTTTTTCAAAAAGTCCTTGGCTTGTGAAAAGAAAGGTTGAATATGTGACAACTTTTCTCAGGTTAGAGATACAACATTGAATATCCCCTGATATTTCAGCCTATTTAATTGCTTTGTGGAAAACACATTGAAGGCCTGAAAGTTAATACAGTTATTTTTATTTATTTGAATTTTGCTTTTTTGCTTTTCTACTCATAAGATAATTGGTTTCTTACAGTAGACTTCTAAGAAGAGGTGACCTGAGAAGTCTAAAATGCAAGGCACTTCTGCCAAGAGGCTTTTGAGGAAACTTTCAGCAAACCAGGGGTGAGGGTTGCAAACAGCAATACTGTTCTGCTTCCTTATTTAACTCAGCAAACAAAATCTCTCACTTAAGCAAGCTGGTAATTGTGTAGTGGGTGATCTCCCTTACTCACAGCATTAGATCATTTGGTAGATTTACTGCAGTGATTTGTTTACACAGAATTTCTCCAAACTCTTCGTTCCTGACTCTGTGGCATGGCTTAACACAAGGGAAGGTGAACTTTGCAAGCCCAATCAGAAAACACTGTCAGAATGGGAACAGCCAACAAAGAGACCTGTGGGAATGTACCGTGTTATGGACCAGCTGGAGACCACATTGTGGTCTTTCCTCAAACACACAGCCCTGAAAATGTAAACATCTGGTACAAGTAGTAACTAACATATCAGGCATCACTGCTGGACACAGAATTTTGTTCCTTGCATGAAATAAATTTTGTTCCTTGCATGAAATAAATTTGAAACCAATTATGCAAAAACTGGTAGATGGGGTTGATGCTGCCCGGGCTGATATGGACAGAGTAAGGAATGGATGCTCTTACGGCTATTGGTCTGTAGTGCTCCCTTGTCATGTTAATCTGAGCTTCATTTTCTTTGGCTTCAGCTATTTATAGGATGACTGTTGTCTCATTTACTTTTTAGTGTGCCATAATTATCCCACACAATTACCATAACATTCCTATCCATACAGGAAAGAGTATGGATATACTCTAGAAAACTGACTTTATTTCAGACAGCAGTAAATACTTCAGGTAACCAAGCTTCTTATCTTAGACAAATATTAGGGAATGACTATTCTCTGCAGTATGCCTGTTTACCTCTGAAAACATGGCAATCATATATTAATACATTTGTTCAAATTTCATGCTATTTATTAATTTTATGATTACTAATTCAAGCACCTAAAAACCTCAAATATGTGACAACGACATACAATACATATGAAACCATGAATATGTGGGAGGACAGCCCTTTCTGGATAAACAGGAATTTGACTATTCCTTATTCTAGCTCGTAGAAATGTTACACCAAAAATGATTAATAATACACATTTTACAGTGACCGTAAGCTGTTAAAAAATAGTTCAGTTGTTATTACCTTGTGTTGTATTTCTGCTGAAGTTGACTTTGTTGATTTGATTTTCTTTACAAGTGCACTGTCATCTAAGAGATTGCCTCAGGCAGCTGACAGCCTGAGCAGCATGTCATCCTCCAGCTGCTGGAGCTCATTCGTGAAACCATTCTGCTGCTTGGCCAGGACCGATTAGCAGAGGGAATGAAAACACTGTATTTGAACAACCACAGCAAGAAATACTGTTTCATAGCATTTGTGAGCTATATTTTCAGTTTAATTAAATCAGTTGATTGAATTTAATTTTTGAAAGAGACAGTTTATCTTCTGTCCCAGTATACTAGATCTAAGGTTCTGGACATCTATAGAGAGAAGGACAAGGTTGTCATGGACCAGAACTTTATCTCTCTGCTAGGGTCCTTCCTCCTGAGTCTGCACAAAAGGACTGGGATCTTGCCCAGAGATGGCAAGTGGTAATCTATGTGGCAGCTGAGGAAACCATAGAGTAGCATAAGGCTGGAGAACCTCACTTTAGCAGCAAACATAGTGGGAAAACTTTTCTGCTGGATTGACCTTCTGACAGTGAAAGAGCTTGACTAGTCTTATGGGGAGCTCTCAATCAGACTCTGACCCTCACACCAAAAACCCAAGGTGATACAGGTGTTGTAAGCATACAGTCCCAGGTAGAACAACGTGCAGATGCAGAGGAAAATGGACAGCTGTTTTCAGATTGTGTTCCCAAGTGTATGGTTTTCATTCTTCTAGAGGTGATTAAACTCTCTGAGTTTGCCCTTGTATGAAGCAACAGTACCTCAAACAGGTGTAACAAATCTTTGCAGATGAAGTTAGTAAATTACATGAGATAACTGGAAAGACACAATAGAGAAATAGGAAGTATTCTTGTTATCAATTTCACAGCCCTAAGTATTTTTTATTTCATTTTTTATCTCATAGATGACAATCTGCCCAAAGTCCTTTCTATAACCACCTATAAAAGCATTTCTCCTCATAGGTTACTATACATTGGTATGACTGCAGCAGCCACAGAACTGCATTCTTGCAGGGATAAATTGTGATCTATTAACCAAATATCCCAGCTCCTAACAGTGCCATCATATCCCCTTATGGACTGGCATGAAATTTTATTTACATTTATTGGCTTAAGATCACTGAAGCAGAAAGCACTGCAGAAGGCTTTAATCCTGCATTGTAAATTAAATGCAACGTACAGAGCAAACCAAGCAGTAGAGAGAAGTGTGGGAATAATATCACAATAAATTTTAATTTCTAGGAGAGCTTTAGGTCAAGATGAGCCCTCTGGGAGCATAGATTTGAGCAAATCAGTAGAAGTACTTTCTACACTTTGCAGAATCTGACCCTTAAATTTTTCTGATATATGGGCTACTAACAATTACTGTACAGCCAATTCAAACAGGCATATTAATTCTAGCCTTAAAATCTTGGAACAGGCAACAGACAAATCAAAAGATAGCCTTTACCTTATGTTTTTCTAAGTCTTGCCTTTCAGGACTAACAACCTCAGCCAACAGCTGGTCTTCCAGCCTGTCCTCAGTGACAGAGAAATTAATGAGGGTGGCCTGAGCCTGCAGTTCTCGCTTGTAGTGAGTGTTAGCCAGCTTAGTGTGAAGGATGAGATGGAAATTCTTGTTGAATTCACATTTTTTTCTCTTCAATCTTGATATATCTGAGAAGGAATAAAATGCACGAGAATGGGCATCTCACTGAATTAAAACCCTGTAAGTATCTCAGATTGAAAAAGATGGGTACTGCATGATCTTGGCAGCACAGAAAATGGATACAAACCAAACTTTATGTGCCTGCAACTTAAGAAACAAAATGAAGATGATTGAACACACCAAAATTCTATGAAGAATACACAGAGTATTTCTTAACTGGCATAGTTTAGTTTGCATATACAGCAGACACAGGGAGATTGTTCACTGCTGTCCTGAAGAGTCCATGGCTTAGGGATGTCTATTGTCATAACTTACCACAAACTTAGCTAAGTTTTCAAACAAACCCTAATGAGATAGTTGTTAGTTTTTACAATTTCCTTAAATATAGCTCACTTCTCCATGTTCTGAAATAGCTCAGCAGTAAATCCTAAGGAACTAAGCAGATACATATTTATAGCAAACTGATAGTGACCAGAGGAGAGAGAATGGCTGGTGACTGAAACAACAAAAATAATTTTTTTAAGGTAGTCTACTAAATGTTTTGTTCCAAACCAATTATTTGCTGGGTGAAAGAATGAGTTATACTAAACTCATTTTTTACTCACTGAATAAAATCCCTTACCCAAGAGATGTCATTTCCTGATTCCTCGTCTTGAATGAAAGGTGCCAGCCTGTCCTATACAGCAACACTGCTACTGCTGAAGTACCATTTGGAGCCCAGCAGTCAGTCAACATAAAGTTCACCTTCCTATGTCTGTGGCACAGTATATAAAAAAAATAAAATTGAAAGACTGCTTATGGACTGCAGTGTGTGCTCTGTGTCTGGTCTGGTGTGGGCCACTGACACAGCTTTTTATCATCTACTTCCACAGTGAGCAATATGTCAATTTTTAGGATTCACCTGCCACACACGAGCACAAAACCAGTGTTTCTGTACAGGAATGGCTTTGAATGTTCTCTGACAAGAAAGAAGATTCAAATATTAGCAACAAAACTGTTAAATAAAAGATCAATAGAACTTTTATACCACGGAACATAGGTAGCCACAAACTCTTCACAAAATCCAAACATGCATTTGGTCAATTTTCAAAGTGATTGCAATAGTATAGATGCTAAACACTTTAAACACAACTCAGGAAAGTCACATCAGAACATGAATAAAATAAATACTTTCTGTAGAAATTTTAACATTGCATTCTTTCAAGTCTATCACAGGGCATTGCTGGAGTCAGGGACATACATTTTAGCTCTTAACATCCTTGCCTGCTTCTGACATGCCCTTATCCAGAAGACAGTCTAAATGAAATGGTGTGCTGAGATCCTTCTGCATTTCACCAAGGATCAGGAAGAAATGATAGTTACTTATTATATACTGCAAGTGAATTCCTAAAAAAAACCCCTAATATGTCTGGTGCTAGGAAACCCATGACTCTACAGTACTCAATTTCAGACATGTATGGCGTAATACTGCCATGCCAACTGCTGAAGATGGGTTTCCCAGGCTTATGTGTGTATAATAGTGAAATAATTTAGCCATACAGTCATGTCCTTCAGATTATACAACCTTTGTCAGGTGGACATGAATTCACTGTCCAGTTCTGCAACATGGTCTCCACAGCTTTCAAAACTGGCTACAGCCGGAGGGAACAAAACAGTAGAGCTTGACATGGAGAAAGCAATTTTCCTTTGCTTTCTTTACACACATAGGGATGAGACAAGAAGAGATCTGACACAAGACAAGTTCTTCAGTTTGTTTTGTCAAGAGAAAAACCTTTGCTAAGGGAGTCACACCACATTTCAGAAGGTCTGTACTAAGCTTTGGAGTTCTGTATTCAAATATGTCCTTTATGGGTTCTCAATTCACAGAAGCACTAAATATCTAATTTCTGCGATTATCACCTATGAAAGGCAAAAACTACATAACGACTCAGTGGGTTTTATTACTGCAGCTGTTCTAGGATTTCTGTTAACTACAGATTTGGGAAAAAGAAATATTTTGTTATTGCTCTGGCACGGTTCAAGGAGTATATGCAACAATGATAAACACAGAGGTAGGGTAACCCAGTAGGACGACTTCATTTTATTCAATGAAATGTTTCTGTCTAGAGGTTAATTCTGGATTATGAAGAAATGTAGCAATATAGGCACTAATAGTGGAAATCCATGATAGAAGGAATATTAAAAGATGGTCACCAAAGAAATTTCTAAAACCAAATTCTACTTTAGGCAATGTTTTCTTCATCATCTCCTATTCCATCAGCAAAGGCGGATAGAATGGATGGAATCAATGTACCACTCTACCCAGGAATGGACAGAGAATCTTTCACATGAGTTCAATCTCCCTCTTATTTAAGAACACACAAAGTAAATCAAAGAGAGATTGCTCTCCATTATTTTTTTCTTGTAGATTTTGAAATAAAGTAGATTAAGGGATTCAAAAGGGATTCACAAAGCACTTTAAAAATTCTGTATACACCTTGAGGAATAAATTGTTTTTAGCAAAAGCAAATATAAAGCCAAATAAATTCCAGAATGTAACATGAGTACTAAATTTTCAGCTATAAGAAGACTAGGAATAGTGCCACATCTGTTCTGATCTGTCAAAATTTGATTTATTGACACAAAAACATGCTATTCCCTTCCGCATGTCCTGCCTAAGGTAAAAATGCCTAGGTCTTTCAAAGAGAGGATCTCATGAAGGAGAAAAAATTTTGAGTATAAGAACCTGGCTTCATATCATGAAACAGCTTCAGAGTACCTTTCAGGGCAGATGTTCTCCAAAACAAACCATGACTGTAAATGGCAGAATGGTGGCATAGCTTCCTTTAGTGAGATGTTTTGGATCAGCTCAGTAAGAATGAAAAGAAGTGGTAAATTCTTGGACAGGAAAGGAAAGGGAAACAATATTTTTCAGTGGGAAGAAAGAGGCATAAATGCATTTTCTGAAGGAGCCTTCTTTGAGTTCCTGCTGCTTAAAATTAAAAGCTTCTGGAACCAACTTGCAAACTCCAACAAGTAATTTAAAGAATGAAGTTAAATAAGTCAGGTGAAAAAAGTGCAGAACGGAGCTTTTACTAGGCAATCTCAGCAGGCAAACTGTGCAAGTTGGTCAAACTAGTTCAGTGGGAAAAGCACTACCTTGAAGTTGCACAGCCAGTGAGACGTTCAAGGCAAGGAAAGCTTCTCCCTGTGGAGAAAGCGAGTGAATTGTCTTGCTGTTTCATGAATAATAGTCATGCCACATAAGAAGGGAAACTTGTTCATACAAGCTACATTTGCACATAAATCAAATTTCAAGACATCTTAAAGAATTTTGTAATAACCTAATCTTGCAACTGAGAAGACATGACTACCTCTTTGTGACTGTGCAAAGGATCTGAGCAGGTGTAAGAGCTCATGCTACAGCAAAAAGGAGGCTTATGAACAATAAATTTATTCCTCTGTCTTCTCTCCTATGAGTCAAAATGACATCGATCTATTAAAATTAATACTCATATTCAGTGATCTCCAAAACAGTGGTGCTGCGGAGATAGGATAGGAAACACATAGGTAAAATTCAAATAATAAAGGTCATCCAGACCAAACCAATTTAATGGCATCATTCCTCTTATAGGAGGCGAGGGCCAAAATCATACACCACTGTAGAATTGGTACCCGATTACTTTTATGCCTTAACTTATCTGCTTCAAAAAATCTCAGTATTTGCATTTTGAATCATTGCTGCATACATTGCTAATACATTGGACCCAAATTTTCCTTACTTTTTTCTTGTGCCCTTCATGCTTATATACAGCTATGTATTACAACTGATTTTTTTTTTTAAATTATTTTATTTTTTTTCCTTTTCTCCTGCTTCTTAAAGCAAATATCCTGAAATATTTTAGCAAAAATCTTATCATTTTAAAGCCATTTTGAACATAAGGCCACAGTCATTGTTGCCTTAAAGAATCACTTGGGAGCCAAAAAATTACTCACCAGGCACCAGTAGAGATAAGGTAGAGAGCAGTTTTAACAGAAGGTCTTCAAACCATGGGGGTACAGATGCACGTGCATGCCATGTGTCCGGGGGCTCCACAATTTAAGGTACAGTCCATCCAATCCCAGATCTATCCACCCCCCAGTTCTGCCCCTGGCATGCTCCTCTGGAAATTGAGTCAGGGGCCTCTAAGACTCCCCCTTCCTCATCTTCCTCTTTGTCACAGCATGTCCAATCCTTGGAGCCTGTCCAAGGTTCCGGGTTTTGAAGGTTGCTTTGTCTGTTGGTGTATCTTGTTGTTCAAGTCAGGGTGCAAATGTTCTTCAACAGAATGAAGGACTACCTTCAGGGAAGTCTAAACAAGCTAAAGGAATTTAGAAAGTTCAATATGAAATGGAGAAAAGGGTTTGGGTAAGTGGAAACTACTGTGCTAAAGTGTAAGGGATTATACAGCTACATTAAAATCTACATTTACTACACAACTACTTCTAAAATCTACAAAAAGCTAAAAATCCAAAAAATCCATAGGCATCACAGTAAGAACAACGGAGCATCTTTGCAGCTCCAAAATTAAAATTAAAAATGTATCAAAATTTGAATACCTTTAACTTGTTAGGCTTTTAAATATATACTAAGGTTCTTAAGCATGAAGTCTGTTTTTCAGAGATAACAAGTACCTGCAGTTCACCCTGCAGTCACGTGGTTTTGAGGAAAATATAAATTATATCCATGTGAAGTTCTTAAAGGCTAAGAATTTCTTTTGCAGGCTTCATTCAGAAAAATACCAGGAGCTGGTGTTACAGAATATCCAAGAGTCCAACATAAGAACCATCTTGGTAAACAAGAAAGGGGAAAAGTACTTTCATGAAGCTGCTTCACAGATCAGCAAGTTCTCTAATAAGAAGGCTAGTAAATGTGCTTTGGAAGGAGTACAAGTTGATAAATCTCCCATGCTATGCTTTCTGTCGATTAATATGATAAGATATATTTTACTTAAAATTAGGATTGTCTGAAGCTCAGTGGATTTAATTATTTGCAATTATCCAGTTGTTGTCAGTATGTGGCCATTTTATGACAGTGGTATCTACTGTGTGGGTCAGGTTCAACTGTACATCTTTTCAAACACAGAATTAATGTACTATTGATGAAACCATTACTAGAACCAAATTAAAGTCTGGGCTGATGTATTGGTCCATGGGGTGCTGTCAGACATGAAAGGAGTAATTAGTATTCATTACTTCATACTCTGCAACATTCCAATTATTAATGAACTTCAACTGCTGGACTGCACCATATCTATCACAAATACCTTTCTAGTCTTTCTTTATTAGGAAAAAAAATTCAAAGTACCTGACACAACTACTAAAACAAACAAATGACAGAAATGAATCCAGAATGAGGAAAACTCTGCATATTTGGTAATAAAGGGGTATATATATTACTAGTATCCCACAAAGGAGACCTGTGCATCTTCAGTGAGGCACAGAATGCTAGGTCATGTAATGCTGCCTAAAATATTCAGCAGAAGGACCTATTTTTAATAGCTTCATATATTTGCATTTGTATCTATGTGCACAGCTCTCTTGTGCTACATGGAAGCCTTTGCTAAGGCAAAACTACATTGCTGTGACCCTTGTCCTTTTCAATCCAATTTATTTCTATTTCTATTCCCTCTCTCTTGCCTTAAAAATCTTTTAGCCTGTGGAATTTCTGGTCTCTCTTTTTGATCAGTATAATCCTAATTTTTAGTAGAGTTTCTTCACTATGGATTATAAAGCAACCTGTATGCTCTTACTCTGAAATATTTCAAATACCACTATAGAAAAATGTAACAAAGAGGGATCATTTCAAGGTCTCACAGTGCAGAGTAAGAGTGCATCTTCCAGGAGTTTCATGCATGCAAGGAGATTTGAACTGTTTTGTACTACCTCGATTTTCTCTGCAGTCACCTGTGCATGAAATATGGGAGAAAGAAGGGAGAGAAAGCTTGGGCAATTTGTCCAAAACTAGATACTATTTTTATTTATCCTTTTTTACATATTTTCTCTTTTGACAATCTGAAACTGTGCAAGCACTCTAAAGACTCTGAGTAGTATTTGAGACCCATTCAGAAATGCTTCAGGAGTATCTTTGACTTTATATTAGAATAAACACCACATTTTTCAACACAAAAAATCTAGCTTGTTGATGTGTTGTTTGCAAACAAGACTATAAGAGTCTTTCAGAAAAAAATAAATTCATATTTGAACATAAACAATAGCATAGCATTTTAGTTCATCAGATGAAACATTTGATGAGGTTACCAAGTGTACTCTCATGTAACCACAAAGCAACATTATTATTTAGGTTGGCAGCTGCATAGAAGACTCAAAAATCACATTGGAAGTTTCTGTGAAAAGTGATGGAAGACATCACAGACTGAAATTCTCTTGCACCGAGTACAAGCTTCTTTATTTTTCCTATTATCATCCTGAAAATGTGTATCTAAAGGTATCTAAATTCGATCTTAGGAAATATTTTTGTTGACATTTTCTAAGTTTGACAATAATTTTTCAAAATCTAGGGGAAAAAAGTGGCATGTGAATGAAAAATGAGATTACAGACACTCCAAAAGGGTCAGAACACAAGGTTACCCTCCCTTGTACCATCTACCACTCCTGCCGCTGCAACATCAGACCAGAGAAAACAAACTAACTCAGCTTTGAATTTGAATCTCCTACTTGAAGGCCCACCTACAAACCTCTGGGGTGGGGCTCACAAGGCTGGCAGAGCTGTAGTCCTTTCATTGGGAGGGGGAGATCAGAACAGTCCCTGAACTGGGGTATTTGGAGCACTCACACGAGAAATGGGGTATGTGAGTTTTGTTGCTAACAGCCTATGTTTCTAGGTAAAACTGAGGAGACATTAGCACCACCATGACATCTGCCTCAATGGATTTGTGAGCATGATCAACTGGACTGGTTTGATGCATGGAAGACTGGCAATACCAACGTAAGCCATCTTTGGCTTACTCATTTCTGCCCTTCTGCCCTAGGTTCTACCATATTAGTTTTTCCTCAGTAGCTTTACTCGTTTGTTTTGGTTTGGGTTTTTGTTTGTTTGTTTGTTTTTGGCTTTGTTTCTTATTTTTTCTTTTTAAACCAGTTCACTGATTTATTTCATGGGGTGGCCCAAAAAGCAGTTATGGCAATTCACTGCAAAGCAGAGGCATAGCTTTCTTAAGCTGATTTTGCAGCTGGAAACCCCTATATTGTTAAAACCAAATCTAGCCTGTAATTTCCAATATTTTCCCTTTTGCTACAGATGCCTAACAAGAAAATTAAATACTTTCTTTTCTTTTGAGCCAAACTATAATATTTGCTTGTCCTTGTTTTAATCCTTTTTTGAAGTAAAAAAAAGTAAAGATTTCCACTTTAGTTTGAGAAACACACACGTCTGTACTGTATTTTGAGTTCAATTTGCAAACTCAGAATTTTGCTATCTAATCAGATGCAGATATAAACATTTTAATATCCACTCATCACCAGTTTTTAGTCATTGCATTTTAAAAAGAAATAATTTATTTCATGAAGTGTTATGAAGCAGTAAGCAAAATGTGGCAATCAAAGCAATATAGATCCAGTTGTCATGGAAAAATTATGATTACTCAAACATACGTACCTTCCCTTTTTAACTATATGTCTTCCAAGCAGGGGATCAAGTATGGGATCAATAGATTCACCCATGTTTTCAATTAGTACAGTCTCATCAAAAGCCAAAGCTCTTTCAATAGTCTTCAGAAAACTTGACCTGAAAAAATAAATAAATAAACTCCTCAAATATTAGATAAATGCTGGTTATCAAAAGATTTCATTTATATAACAAAAATGTAGAAGTTTTCATAAAAGAGCATTATTAACCCATGCAAAACTGTTCACAAAGAATTTCCTAGTGGTTGAGAGTTTGACAGTCTTGAGTTCAACATTTTTCTACCTATGCTCTTGCTAGTCCTCATATTAAACAAAAAATATATTGCTGAGGCTTTTCTTATAAGCAAATATGAGGGTACAGCCCCACATTGAAGATACTGGAATTAACATAGAGATGTTGGGGGAGCACATATATATTTCATCTTTTGTTATTATTTTTACATTTTATGTTTTTGTGTTACAGCTTTTGGTATATCCTCATCTAAACAATAAATACTTTCTCGAAGGGTTATCTGAATAGCTTGGGAGAACGCTGTTTCCACAGGCATGGAAAAAGGAGTAGATAAAAATGTAAGGATAAGTAAGCAGACAATACAGCTTCACATAGCAGGGTATTACAGGGTATAAATGGAAAAATCACAATTATTTGTACGGGTTGGAAAAGAATGAAAAACAAATCAAGGCAGGTGAGGGAAAAGAGCTCATCCAAAGCAGATGGGTTAGATGATTAAGATGTATTTAAAAAATCAGGCATTGCTATGAACATTTACTGTGTTGTGTAATTGTGTGTTATATCTGGAATTTAGTACAATAAACTTTGAAATGGAGCATTATCTCCCTAAATCTAAGTAAAGATAAGAAAATATATGAACAGATCAATTACATGCTAGTGCTATCAACTTACATATAACTCAGTAATATTTTGCCTTGGATGCTGCACAGTGGGTTGAGTCTTTCCCTCTGTGAGGTGCACATGCTGTGTTCTGCTAACTAAAGTGTACAGGATAAGTAAGGTCATATCATCCGGCTTTACATCTTAACGATTGAAAAAGCAATTTACTCTTCAAAAGAAGTGCACCTCAACCTCCACTTTCTTTCCAACCTCCACTTTATATCCTCCCCAACACTTGCAAATAGCAAGTTTCCTTTCAAGCAACTTTTTAAATGGAAAATGATGCTATGGATAAATAAGCTGAGTGTTGCAATATTTCAAGTCTTTAGGTAAGTGCATTCCAACAAACACTAATCCCTTACAAAAATTAGGGGAACTTGAGGGCAGTAAACATGAAAACCAATTCTTCAGTGCGCACATACCCTTTCTGTCCTAGACGTATGACTTAAGGTCAGCTCCGCATGTATTCTTTATCCATTTAATTCCCTGTTGCTGGGGATCTATCATCAGAGGTCAGCACTCGCAGTTTCTTAGAGAAGTGGCATTTTCTGTTGGCATCCTATCACCAGGCAGTCTCTCGTTACTCCATGCTGCAATCGTAGCATCATCCGTCAATGTGGCAATTGGGTCCAGGCCCTCCATCACAGGAAAAGGAACCTTCTTGAATCAGAGTGGAATATAATCATCCAGCAAGGTTACCAAGTAGCAAGACATGACTCAGTGCAATGCACAAGAAAACTGGGCTAATATAAATTAAAGTAAGGCAGAAAAGTAAGAAGGATCCCTGTGGAGTTTCAAATGCAAAAGAATGTTCTAGGAAATGTGATGAGAAGCAGTTTATCATATTTATAACAGATTCAAAAAACCATGTTTTCTCTTAAGATATTCACTTCATAAAAATATTTAGAGTTCAATGATATTAGAAAACCATGGTATATTATAAATTTCAGTGTATCCTGATAGTGCAAATTCAATACTTATGTATGCTCTCAAGCAGCTATTTCTGGAACATAAATCAGTATTTATCCACACAAAAATTATAAAAACAGGATTCCCAAGGCATCTTATTAATATAGTTCAGCTATGCTCAAAAGCCAGAGAATGGGATGATCTCTGAGGGCAGAGGCAGTGGAGCTCCCTGTGGGGTGCCAGGTACAGCAATGCTCTTGTGTGAGTGCCTGTTCACTAAGCAGGAAGCTGTGATAGAGCAGCCATCAGACAGTGATGCTTGTTGGATGCTACACTGTCACAGGCATTTACAAGGAGATGAAATCAAAAAGAAATGGACCATCTGAAATCAGTGCTTATTGAACAGGTATGGGTGGGAAGGGAATTGCCTAATGCAGAGTAAGAGAGAGTGAATAACTAAGTTGGAAAAAACAAAAGTGGCTCATGGAAGCATAACAGAAGCTCTATACCAGATGCCTGGAATTGATCTTTTACTTGCTGAAGCAAAGGGCAAACCCCCACCAATTCCTTCATGGTGTTATCCCAGACTTCCTTATTTGTGGGTTTTGGATTGAATTCAAAACCTATAAATAAAGGAAAACATCATCAGTATTAAGCCTGAACAATCTTCTATCCCATTCAGAAGTGTCTTAAAAACTCTTCCATCAAAATTTTCCTCCTCCCTGGACATGTCTAGTCCTCAGACCAGAGCTCCAGACTAGACTGGAGCATCTTTTAAAAGTACACACTGAAACAAAATAACCCATGTATATGGGTGGTCGTTTAAATTAAAAGCATTACATATATTGAATTTGAGCCAAAACTGCACGATTATTAGTAATAAGAATGGCACCACACCTCTAGTGCAGTTTCTGTGGCACAATGTGATATTATTACAAAATGCATACCACCTTAAATTGTCTAACCCTTGATTCTATTCCCTGAGCCCCAAATAAACCTAATTTTTGATGAATTTGCTGAAAATATAGGAACAAAAGTCCCAACAGGCATACACTGTCCTCTGCAAGCATGCAACATATCTATCTTCCATGTGTAATACATTCATCTAAATATATCAAAAGACTGAAAACATGATTTGTTTTATCTCTGGACTGTAAGGCAAGTAATACAATCATTTCTATGAGCTGAAATACTTCCTTGTGAAAAACACTAGCACTGGGGTGTTATCAGGGTTCCTAATATTAATTTTCACACAATGCAAGGAAAATATTTTAACATATAGATACATCTATTGTCACTGTATCTGCGCAAAGCTGATACTTCATGGCATAGAACAACTTGATGTTCCTTCTATACATGACTATTAATAAACAGTATGGAAATATAGGCAACACAGTGAATATAGGAAACAAGTAGGAAGAGGTGATGAGCATTTGCAGCAGCAAGGAAGAAAGGAATAGTCCAAAGCTTCACAAGTAAGGAGAAAGAGACAATCCTAAGGATTAAAACATCCATGCATTTACTGAGTACTATTAGTTTCTCCTGTGTACAGAAAAATGGGAATTATCGTAACTATATGCTCTTTCTGGACCTGAAAAGCTAAGCAGAATAGGTCTCTCTGTACAGGTCTTTCACTGTTACAAAGCTGTCATAAAGAGCAGACTTCAGCATTGAGAATTGGAAAGGGAAGGGACTTTTTTTTTTTGCCCAAGAGAACCTCTCTTTCTCTCATGCCACTCAGAATATACTTGTAATCTAAAGAAAGTATGTGTGTGTGCATGTATATATATATATATACACATACATATATATATACAGATATATATACACACACATATATATATTAGTGCATATATATACATACACGTGCATATATACATATACTGAAAACAAATACCAGATCTGTACTTCAAATTTTTGAAAGATAGCAACTTTAACAAAGCAGGTTCCTGAGACTCCCATTTTGTCCAGTAAATTTTACTTTTTTCTGCCTTTAGAAAAGGAATACAGAAATGCCCCATCAGTTACTCTTTTGAGAAGGGTCCAAAATAAAAACACAAGTGCTGCTAGTAAGTAAGATACCACGACATAAAGTTTTCTTTTTTGCTTTGAGGTTTCCAATGGACTAACTCAAATACATGTTTTTCAGGCTTCAAAGCAAAATTGGAAAACATTATCTCCTGAGCAACATGGAAGTGACAGAATGTTTAATGTTAATCTCCACATTAAAAAGTTGAAGCACACAAAATACAGCAGGAGAAGTACTCTGTCAGCAAGAGATACACTTCCAAAGATTGCAAATGCTGGAAGCAATACATACTTTCTCGTGGTGATTTGAAACTTTTGAAGCTGAAAACAATAGGATAGAACTCTTCATCAAGCATTCTATCTACAGACTTTTTTCAGTAATCAGTTTTGTCTAGATCAGATACAGCTGGTATACTACTGCCAGTGCAAGGATTTCCAGCAACATTCAGAAAAGGCAAAAGAAAAAAAAAAAAGGAAAAGCTGTTTTGACCTCAATAAAGATGTAAATTCTACCTTTTTTTCCTCACACTTTTTTTTCCAAGGGAAGGACCAAGGCAGTAGAGTTGGTGTCCCTGCCCATGGCAGGGGGGATGTAACTTACATAATCTTTAGGATCCCTTCAAACCCAAATCATTCTACGAAGACTTGCAGGACTTTTTACTCTTATTTATCTGCCTTCTTTTACCTAATAGCTCCAGATGTTTTACTCAGTTAAGGCTGCAATGATTTGAAATTATAACAGGAGGAAAGATGATGGTGGACAAACACACAGGTCACCCAGAGAGGTTGTAGAATTTCCATGGTGCTGGACAACCTGGTTTAACAAATCCAGTTTGGGTAGTGGGAGTGGATTATCTCAGATGGTTCCTTCCAGTTGCAATGATAGTATCAAAGTTCTTCATATATTTTTTTCCCTACAGAGAAACCCAATTTCCCTTGTGCACTCTGCAGAGGTTATCTTAACCACACTTACCCTGGAATATTTTGTATGAATAGTCAGGAATGGTCTCAAATATTGATGATTTCTTATAAGTAGCTATGTGGAAAGCTGTCATTTTATTCCAGTTATGTTATAAAGACAGCCCACCATCTATTTAAAATGTCAAAATGGTGGCTAAAGGATTTCAGAAAAATGAATGCATCTTCTTTAAAGAAAGTTTATGTTAAAGACATGAATCATCTCTTTTTCAACTGGGATGTGTGCCATGACATAAACCCCAAACTAGCAGTATTTGGCACATTAACCTTTGATTGTTCTGTGTATGCAATTCCCAGCAAAGGAATGAATGTATGCATGAATGCATGTTCAAATAGCTTCAGCATGGAAAGGAAGGTAAAAATTGATCATCCATTAGAGTCATCTTCAAACTGATAAAATTCTAGATGTAAAATTTGAATAGACTGCCATAACATCTCTTCTTTGTTTGTCTTGTTTGAAATACTTCAGATAAAATAGTTTCACAATTTATTCACTTCAATCAGGGAAACCTCAGGAAATCATTCTCCAGTGAGTAGAGGAACTGAAGGAAAGCAAGGGCCAGGATGAAAGAAGGAAAGCACTTTATAAGGACTGTTCTTTACCCATAAAGACATTTGTCTGTATGTCCATACAGACATTTGTTTTTCAGAGCAATGACAGTAATCAAATAATATTTTTCCAGTCCTTTATATGATGCAATAAAATATCGATGAAAATCTCTGAATAGGATGTATCCTCCATACTTCATATAATTTTGTGTTAAATGCTTGCTTTTTGTTGGTGTCAGCTGCCTAAGAGCTTAAATAATACTCTTAGATGTGCTTGTTCTTGAAAGTTGTACAAATTATAAAATCAAATAACAACTCACTCTCATTTAAAATATAATTTTCTATGTGTATGCAAACAAAGTAACAAACTAATTGTTAAATTTTTTATTCATTAAGTATTTTCCGTTGATATTTTTCAGAAAAATCAGAAATATTTACTGAAATAGTTAAACATCCTACCTTGTGAAGACAGACACAGAATTCTATGATCACAGAAGACTCAGACTCTTTTGTTATAAAAGAGGAATATAAAGTAGCCACTAAGAAAAAAGAAGTATCTTTAATCAAAGTATGTGGTTAAAAGAGCTATCATGTAAATGTTTCACAGTGTAAACACAGGAACTTGGTGTGTGAAGGCCTCCTAAACCCCAATTCCATTCATAAAATATGCCCAACAAATTACATGTAAAGGACCATTCCTGTTGAAGGCTCTAACAGCAACCTTTGCAATATAGGAGTTTTGTTTTGAAGTGCTTTAGACATCCATTTTTGCCTACAGAAGTTATTGAATTTTTCTTTAAATCATTAACTGAAGGCAACAAGACAATAAAACCATTAATTTACAAGAGGGCTTTTTGATTTATCCATTCTCTCTTCTTGTTGTCACTAACTGGTAAGTCATAAACAATAAAGAGCACCCACCTCATTCTCCAAAATAGCTTTGAAATTTGAAGATTTACTAAACATAGAATGATTGTCTATTTAAATCTTCAGTAATTTTACCATACCAGCCAAGCACCATAAATCACTAGTGACATTGGCTAACAAGAGTTTAAGAGTTGGAACATGCAGTGTAATAAATTTCCAGACAGTTAAAAATCACTATAATTTTATTCTAATGCATTATAGATTGCCTGTAATGTCATCCTGGCCGGGGTGACCCATTTCTAATTTTGAACAGCTGTTCGGCTCGGGAG